GGGGGCGGGGCGGTCACGTGCGCCCCAGGGGCGAGGCCCCGAGCCGTCAGGGAGCGAACGGAGTCCGGAGAACTGGCCGCGCTGGGAGCGGAGCCTTTCCTGGACCGAGGGGCTGAACTTGGCTCAAGGCACCGGAGGCCAGGACGGCGCTGAAGCGTCTGCGGCCGGCCTGGGGGACAGCAGTCGGGGACAGGGGAAAAGGGGGGTCAGAAGTTTGGAGGTGAGCGTCGGGAGGCCCACCCCTGGCTTTTACGCAGGACCGGGTGTCCATTTCTCCTGGGGCAGACCCGGGCCACAGCCCCGTCAACTCTAGAGGACCGGCTGGGGCTACTGTCGCGTAAGACTGCGGGGGTTCTCAGCACCTGCCCAGGCTCCAGGAGCGGCCGCGGTCATGGTGAATGAAGACCCCAACCTGGAGGAGAGCGATGGCACCCCCGAGCAGGAGTCCGCGCCCCGGGCGAACCCCAGCGTCTCTGCCCATCACAGCGTCTCTACCGACCCCAGCATCTCCGCGCATCCCAGCGTCTCGGCGCATCCCAGCGTCTCCTTCCACCCCAGCACCTCTGCGAACCCCAGCAGTTCAGGCTTCCCCAGTACCTTGGCGCAACCCAGTGACTTGGCCCAGCCCAGCAGCAGCAGCAGCAGCTCGGGGCGCGAGAACCTCAGTGTGATCAAGGTGAGCAGGCGCCGCTGGGCGGTGGTCCTGGTGTTCAGCTGCTACTCCATGTGCAACGCCTTCCAGTGGATCGAGTATGGCGCCATCAATAACATCTTCATGAACTTTTACCGGGTCACGGCCTTTGCCATCGACTGGCTGTCCATGTGCTACATGCTGGTCTACATCCCCCTACTCCTGCCGGTGGCCTGGCTGCTGGAAAAATTCGGGCTTCGCAACATCGCCCTCACCGGCTCCCTTCTCAACTGCCTGGGGGCCTGGGTGAAGCTGGGGAGCCTGAAGCCACATCTCTTCCCAGTCACTGTGTTGGGCCAGGTCGTCTGCTCCGTGGCCCAGGTCTTCATCCTGGGCATGCCCTCTCGCATCGCTTCAGTCTGGTTCGGGGCTAATGAAGTTTCAACAGCCTGCTCCATAGCTGTCTTTGGCAATCAGGTGGGTAGAAGGGTTTGTGGGTGTTCAGAGGGATGGGCATCGTCTCACTGTGGGACTGGGTGTGTGAGATTGAATCGGACTGTACTTGACTGTGTGGGAGACTGTAATTTTCTGACTTCAGCTGTGTTTGCGACTGTGGGTGACTTTACGGTTTTGTGTGATTGATGGTGTGAGTGATTATGATTGGGTGACCCTGTAAGAGAAGTGCGGGGGGAACAAAGCGAGGGGACTTTTTCTTCCACTCACAGTTTCTCCTCACCTAGCAGAAAGCATGCTTTTGAAACATATGATGTTTTTAGGATTTCATTCCTGAACCTGTCAGTCCACCAGCTTAGACCTTTGACTTGAGGAAAGCTATCCTTTCTCAGGGAGCGGCGCCAGGGCGGCAGCTTCTTCTGTCACCATCAGAATTTAGCAGGTGTTTTTAGCCTGACCAACCAGCTTTCCTAGAGTGCAGCATCTCCTGTTCTACACAGAATCACAGAGTGGTGCCCTGGTCGAGTTTGGCACTGTTCTTGACTTCTTTTGTACACAGCTAAAGCCAGGACAGTGGGAACAATGCTTTATGCCAAACTCCTCCCCTCGGGTTTAAAGCCAAGTTAAGCAGGATGGAGTAGAAGTCTCACTCTGAGTTTCCAAAGACTAAAATCCTTGGAAAGGCCTGGAAAGCTCGTCTTTAAATCCTTTCTCTTTCCTTCTTGGAAGGAGCACATTGAATTCTTTGCATCTCGATGTGGTTATAACCCAGAAAGTTGGGTGTGTTATGAATCTGATTGTCTTCTCCAAATATTTGAAGCAAATTATATATGGGGTTCTTCTTTATGTGAATCACTGCCTCCCGGTCTCATTGCTTCCCAAGCACACTCAGGGCTATGCATTTAGAAATGACCAGTAACCCTTAGTTTATATAGGTCTGATTTCTCTTACCTGTTATTGCATTTAGAAATTTTAACCTTTCATTTAGAAATTTCTCATTTGGGTTAGAAATTTTCAAAACTTCTCTAAAGGCAAATTTTCATTCTGTTCGTCTTCACCACTAGGAAGTTGACTTGAGCTAAATTTTCCCAAATCAGCAAGTCCTGCCACTTGAGTAACAGTGTAAGCAATCAATGAAAACAAACAGAGAGGCCTTCTTTAGCACACAAACGGGCAACATAAAGTCCTTTACCCAGTTTTCGTTCACCTGTGGGTTTGAATGTTCTGAAGACTGAATTGATTTGAGGTCTGGGCATGAAACAAGAGGGATCTTGTTCAGGGCAACTAAAAAATAGGTGTTGAAGGTGACATTTACTAATCCCCTATCCTCTAAGGTGATCCTCGTTGCAGCCCTGCTGGTGGGTTTGACGTTACTGGATTTTTCCTTTATCGGAGGGTAAAGCAATGGGTGAGGGTGAAGGGCAAGACCTTTCAAGCTTCCTGAGAGATAAATCTCCCTATTTTCAGTTGAACAGGATACTGACAAGGTCACTGCAATCCCAAACCCTTTGATTTGAGGAGGGCAGAACTAACTGGGAGAAGCCCTCAGGTGGCCAGGTGAGATCAGACAACCCAGAACTTCTTTTGTTAACCATTTAGGGTAAACTAATAGGTTTTGAGACCCTTCCTCCCCCACTTGTGAGGGAACTTGACACCAGATAATATCTGGAAAATTTAATAAGAATAATTATTCATTCTTTACCTCTACTCCCCCCCAAGGCCAGGAAATGCTAAGAAATTTACATTTAAAAACACTCTGACGCATATATTTGTATCACGGAGCCATCTATTTGGTTTGGTTGTTAAGCCTCAACCCACTTTGCTAAGTTAAACAAAACATTATGGAAAAACTAAATTGTTTATTCTTCCTCTGTCAAGATAAATATTTGGTTCTCAGCATGTGTTTTAACCTTTCCTTCTGAGTAAAGCATGACTGAGTGGAGGAGAATCTTAATAGAGCACCTTGTGCTTCATTGCTTAGAAGAAAGGCTCCACAAAGCTGTTAAATGGATTTTCAGTGTCATTTTGCAGAATAATTCCTCATGACCTGCACACTTCACACTGATCAGCACAACCCCTGTACCCGGGCCATTCTGATCTCTCTCTTCTAGTGCTTCTTATATGCTCCACACATGCACCCACCCCTGCTTGCATTCAATCCAGTATTTGCTCCTTCATTCAGCAAGCTTTTACCTATGTGGCAGAGGAAGAAAACTTCTACCCTTTTAGGCCCTTTCAGCTGGTCTAATTAAATCAACATGAGAAAGATTAACAAGAGAAAATAACCACATTTAATTACATATGTACGTATGGGATCCCACATACATGAAAGAGTCAGAGACCCCACATACATGAGAGGTTCAGAGACAGAAAGGTAAGGATCCTCTAAGGTGATCCTCGTTGCAGCCCTGCTGGTGGGTTTGATGTTACTGGATTTTTCCTTTGTTGGAGGGTAACATCCCCAGGCAAGGACTAAAGTAAGATGCCTTGAGGCTTGAGGCAGAAGGAAGGCCATTGGCAGGACAATAAACAGCGATGCACAGTAATGAGAAGTTTGCCCTGCACTATAGGTAGGTCATCAGGTTATTTCTGGTGATAACTCTTATGGACAAGGCTCCCAATTTAACTTCTCCTAGGAAATTAAGGGAGGGGCAGAAGTTTCTCCTGAATCTGCAGGGTCTCAGTTGCCTTCAGCTCAAAATAATCCATAGGCCAAAGTAGCACACTTTGGGGAAGCCTGTTCTGAGCCTCTTTACCCAGCTCCCCCTTTTTGCCAGATGCTCTGCTAGGGCTGCATAGCATCTGCCTTCGCAGAGTTCTCACACCAGATTTTGAAATTGTACCAGGCACCAAGATTCAGATTTTTAAAAAAGCAAAACTGATCAGAGGATAGAGGATTTATTTTCAGTTCTTCACCAGGTTTTTAGTGTCTTCTTAGCCTAATTGCTATGGGGAAATTGAAGGGGAAAGGAGCTAAATATCTCTGAAACACTTATATTGTGCGAGGCACTTTTTAATCCATTATTTAATTTTTCAACGCTGTGGGGACAACCATTGTCCCCATTGTTATTGGTGAGGAACCTGAGACAGATAAATGGAGCAACTATATTCAGGATCCTACAGCAACTGAATGGCAGAAGGGAGATTCAAACCCAATTCCACCTCCAAAGTGCATGTTGATAATTGGCCAATATTGAGGCTTCATTCACATGGATAAAGCACATATTTAAAAAAAAAACACAAAAAAAACCCAAAAAGCCCGAGCCAGTTTTGCTCAGTGGTTAGAGTGTTGGCCCTCGGTCTGAAGGGTTTCAGGTTTGATTCCGCTCAAGGGCACTTACCTTGGTTGCGGGCTCGATCCCAGCCCTCGTCAGGGTGCATGCAGGAGGCAGCCAATCTATGTCTCTTTCATATCGATGTTTCTCTCTCTCTCTCCCACACTCTCTCTGAAAAGCAATGGAAAAAATGCCCTCAGGTGAGGATTAAAAAAAAAAAAAGGCAAGATTCTGAGGAAGAATTTTGCCCCTTGTGTCTCAAGGGTGGTTGTTGGTGAAAAAGTGTCCAGCAGTTTCCTCTAGAATTTGAGAGCCTAGCTCCTGTTTTCTGAAGTTCCCAGCATCCAGCATTAGCATTACGGGCCCCCACACCCCCCTTTGCAAACTGCTGAAGGGCTGGTGCTGCTGCTCTGCTGCTTTGAACTTGGTGAAGGGGCACAAGAAGGTGGCTTTGCGTCTCTGGGAAGAAGAAACCAGTAAATCCTGAGCTGAGCTGCAGCGGAGGCTCTTGCAGTTGAACAGGTGGTAACAGACTGGCAGTTGTTTTAGCAACACTTGTTCCACTGCTTCAAGGGAAAATGATCTGTGTGGGGTTTTAGTGATGTGGACACATTGTTATTGTGCAGGGTTGGAAGAAAACTGGTGTTAGAGTCTGGTGGTAGCTTGGTGGCGGAGGAGGGAGGTGTGGCAGCTGAAAGAAATCCCAGGTCAGCTCTAGGCCCCGTGAGAAGCCCACAGCACCCAGAAGGGAAGGGACTTCTTCAAGGACTCTTGGGCTGCTCAGAGCAGCGCCTCCCAGTAGGAGAGAATCGGTTTGCTTTCCATGTAAGAAAAATAGTTACCTTACAATATTAGTTCTGTAGAAGCCACACCTGGCTGGGCTGTGGAAAATAGCACTATCCCATAGAAATATAAGGCAAGCCACCAATGCGAGCCACATGTATAACTAAATTTTTTAGTAGCCACATTAAAAATATATAGAATGTAAATTTAAAAAATTTTAAAGATAGGTAAAATTAGTTTTAGAACCATATTTTATTTAACTCAATATTTCCAAAGTATTATTTCAACATGTAATCAATATAATATTACTGAGAAGCTATTTTACAGTCTTTTTTTTTCATACTGGGCCTTCAGAAATCGGCATGTTTTTTACTCTTACAGACCCGGTAAGTGATGGGATGTGTTATAGGCAGGTTGGACCACACAGGTCTAGAACAATGATGCTATTTGTAGGAGAGAAAAAGTTTTCCTTAACCCTCTTAGGGCCCCTGACTGGGTCTAAAAATTAAACTGACAAAGTCATATTAACAGGAAATCATCCAAATTTATTTAAGTGTTATGTGACATGGGAGCCTTCATAAGAAAATGGAGAAACAGTTAAACCTGTGTATTTTCATGCCATGTTTGAGGCAGGGTGGACCGTCGTGGAGGAATATGACAGGTTAGGAGTATGAGGGAATTATAGTAAACTAGGGGAAACTGAGCAAGGCCTGTGTGTCCCGGTTCTTGGCAGCCGTCCCTTTGTCTTCAGATGGAAGGATGCTCCCTTCCTCCGGGTCTAGGGAGGGCACCTGTCACGGGAGGGTTTTGGGGAGGAACCTGTTTCAGGGAGGAAGAACAAGGAGGGGGAGAAGATCAGAAAGTAACCTTTCCGCTTCTGCTGTTTTCTCGAACTCCTTCAGCTTAAACTATCCAATATGCCAAGATGCCATATTTCAGGGGTAGCGTGTTCTGAGCCCTGTCACA